ATCTTCCACCAGGGTGTAAACCTCTTGGATATAAGTGGATATTCAAGAAAAAAATAAAAGCAGATGGTTCAATAGATAAATAAAAGGTTAGGCTTGTTGTTAAGGGATACATGCAGAAGGAATGCCTTGATTATTTTGACATCTATTCACTAGTGATAAGAATAACATCTATTCGCATGTTGATTGCGATTGTAGCTTTGTATAATCTGGAGATACATCAAATGGATGTTAAAATAGCCTTTTTAAATGGCGAGTTAGATGAAGAAATCTATATGGAACAATCGGAAGGGTTTCAAGTTCCCGGCCAAGAGAAAAAGGTTTGTAAACTTGTCAAATCCCTTTATGGATTAAAACAAGCTCCGAAATAATGGCATGAAAAATTTGATCACGCTATGCTTTCGGATGGTTTTAAGACAAACGAATGTGACAAATACATCTATATTAAAAGCACAGACAAAGGCTATGTCATAGTCTGTCTTTATGTAGATGACATGCTCATTATTGGAAGTAATAATAACATGATTAAATCCACAAAGAAAATGTTGAACAAAAAGTTTGACTGGAAAGATCTAGGAGTAACAGATGTAATTCTAGGAATAAAAATTACTAGAACATCTGAAGGATATGCTTTATCTAAGTCTCACTATGTTGAGAAAATTCTGGAGAAATTTGGAAAGCTTGACGACCGTCCTGCTAAAACACCTGTTGACATTAGGCTTCATTTGTCAAAAAATACAGGTGCAAGCATATCACAATTAGAGTACTCTCAGATAATCAGAAGTTGATGTACCTAATAAATTGCACTAGACCAGATATAGCTTATGTTGTAAGCAAATTGAGTAGGTACACAAGTAATTCAGGGTCCGATCATTGGAAGGCAATAATTAGGGTACTTAGGTATCTAAGACATACCCGAAATTATGGCTTACATTATACCAAATATCCAGTAGTACTCGAGGGGTACAACGATGCAAATTGGATATCAGATACTAAAGACTCAAAATCTACTAGTGGATACGTCTTTACCCTAGGAGGTGCTGCAGTCTCTTGAAAATCCTCCAAGCAAACATGCATAGCAAGGTTGACAATAAAATATGAGTTTATTGCTTTAGATAAAATAGGAGAAGAACCAGAATGGCTTTGTAATTTCTTGGAAGACATTCCAATGTGGCCTAAACCTGTGCCAGCTATATGCATTCACTGTGATAATAAAGCAGCAATAAGACGGGCACAGAATCATACGTATAACAATAAGTCTCGACACATTCGTTGAAGACATAATATCGTTAGGTATTTGCTCTTACATGGAATAATTTCCATAGAATATGTAAAGTCAAAGGAGAATATTGCGGATCCATTGACTAAAGGGCTAACCAAAGAGAAAGTATATCATTTATTGAGAAGAATGAGATTAAAGCCTATTACTTAAAAGTTGCCATAATGGCAACCCAACCTAATTGATTGGAGATCCCAAGATCTAGGTTCAAAGGGACAATCGAATTATGGATGACTTCACATATCACTATGGAGGTTTACTCCTATCCATTTTTATGATAAAAAAAGTGATACCTGCAGCGTTAATAAGATAAGTTTTGCTTTTAATGATTCTTATAGCTTGGACATCCAAGTGGGTATAGCAGGATACTCTTAATAAGAAGTCACATATATGAGTGTGAACTAGGCCGGTGCTGTGAGAATTGAGAAGGCTAAATTCTCTAGAACACTCATGAATTACCAGGCATTGTTCAGGGCTAAAATGAACACAACCGTAAGAACCAAACTGTGTCTGTGGATACACTATGTGTAGTCTATTGTCCTGGCTTACACAAACAGCTGAACAGTTCAAGGTATCGCGTCCACTGGTTAGCCAGTAAGTCCGATATGCTTTCACTAGAGGAGGTTCAAAGCCAAAAGCTACCTATCTCGATATGGTGTATCTTCTTAACGTACTCTTTCTTTGTCTGCATCTTGTTGCATATCCGTTATCGTGAGTTCCATTTATGTGGGGGATTGTTGGAAAATGGCTTTGATAAAATCTTATTTTTTGTTAATTTTGAGCATTAATAAAGGTGGGACCCAAGCGTTATTTTTAACGTTTTTCATTGGGTTCATGTTTAATGCTGCATAATGAATGAAATCGTGTATTTGGTTGCTCAAAACCATTTCAGGATGAATGAGAATTCAACCCGCATTTTCGGGTTTATAGAAATGGATTTAGATGAGTTTCCTACACATTTGTGAAATATGTTTGTCCCACATTGGAAAGGCTTAAGGTTTTGAATGAGTTTATATACCTTGGCTTGGGATACTTGGGATGGGCCCCAATGGGCACCCAAGTTTTTGGAATGATGAGGTTATGGGTAAAGTGGGCTAGACCCATTAGACCCAAAACAAAAACCATGCGCGTACGACGCCGCAGCCTGTCGGTCAGTCAGGCTGGGTTAGGCCTGGGTATGGGTGCGAGGTTAAGTTGGGCTTATCCAGCCCAATATTTATTTTTTTGGGCCAAAAACCTTTGTAATTTATTTATTTATTTTAAATTTTGGTTTCAAAATTCAAAATAAATTGGTCTATATTTTTCCTTCACCCAAACAGATCCCTAACGAGTTCAAACCCACCTGAACAGGTTCAAAGGGTTCAGAACAGGTTCATACTTGTTAAAATTTAAACCAAACAGATTTTCTATCTGTTGAATCTGTCTGAACAGTTGTCTATCTGTTGGCATCTATTCAGAACAGCAATCATTCCTCTTATATATAGTATGCTTCTAGCAATTCATTTGCATCAGAAAAATCCCAAATTTTTCGCTTTCTTCTTCAATCCGTCCTCCTACGCTCTAGCATTTGTTTCTGCATTTATTTTTAGGAAAAGAAAGAGAAAGAGTTACAACATAATTTGGTTCGCCAGACTTGATTTTGTAGTGCTGCGAATTCAAGTGTTAGTCGTTGTATCCTGGGAAGTAGACGCCGATTAAAACTCAAAGCACCAGAGTGAGAGCAAAATTTACTTTAAGAAAATTATGTCCAACACAAATCTCGACTTTAATTTCTGTAAGCATTTAATTTGAAATTTAATTTATAAAATTATATTCTGAATTATTTTATTTTGTTGCTTATTTTATTTACACATTTGATTTACATACACACACCTCTATGGGAATAACAACTTTTACGTCAATTTTGATTTTTTTTTTTAAGAATTTCATAATCAACCTAGATCTTATTTGATAGATCTTGATGAGAGTATTCTAAAAATACTAATTTTATTAAAAATTGACATCTAGATCAAAATAATTTTAAAGTTTAAAATATTAAATTACTCACTAAAAATATTTTGATAATAATAATATGTGTACTTTTTAAGGAAAACTTTTGTGTTTGTTCTTAATTTAATAAAATTTTATTATAAAGGTGCTTTGATCAAGTTCCTCTCGATTTTATCGATTTTATTAGTTGATGTACAAAAGAAATTTGCATGAGATTTTAAAGAGTTTTGCAGGAGATTATAGAATTTTAAACTGAAAAATGAAAAAAAAAAATGTATGAAAATTGTTCTATAAATTTTTCTTCCCCTAATTTTTACCACAAAAATATGTTATATTAGTTACTTATTATATGATGTCTAAAAAATTATACTATACAAAAATTTAAATATAATATTTGATCGATTCCATTTGTACCAATATTAAAAAAATTAAAATCAAAACAAACTATATATTATGAAAAATAAACCAAAAGTTGAAATTTTGATCCGGTCCCATCAATTTTTGTTATATCCCAAAAATTAGCAAAACCTACCCACGCATTGTCCTAAAATCTCTACTATTGAGTTGTTTGGGAATGTATTAAATAAATGTATTTATTTGAGTCATATTATTTTTTGAGAGACTTATTTATAAAGTCTTTTTTCAGACATTTATAGTAGGTTAAGTCTTGTGTAATTTCTTATAGAGTCTCAAATCCTATTTAGATAGGAATGTATTCTATAAGATCCTACATAAACGTAACGTAACGTGTCATGTTACATTTCGCAAACTTAATGAGTTTTTATTTTTTTAAATTGAACGTGAAAATGTTGCTGGTTTATGTTGGTATCACGTTACGTTTCATATAAATCTGATCTATGGTAACATTCAATTTCCTATATGCCATAGATTATAAGTGTCACGTTATGTTTATGTAAGTGTCACATTACGTTACGTTTATGTAAATATGATTTATGGTAAGATGCAATTTCCTATATAGGAAATTGTATATTACCATAGATCATAGGTGTCACGTTACGTATATGTGTCACGTTACGTTACGTTTATATAGATATGATTTATAGTAACATTCAATTTCTTATATATAGTTTTACTATTATTTATGATATTAACAATTAATATTGAGGGTAAATGTGTCAACAATCTTCCCACAGGACTTATGGGAACATAAGTTTTGTAATAGAAACATATGTAGCATAAGTCTCCCTAATAAGACTTATAAATAATTTTTCCTTATTTTTTTATATAATTTTTTATAAAAAGTCAAAAAATACATTAAGACCCATTTAGTAAGATGGTTGAGATTAAATTAGTCTATTAAAAGACAAAATAAATTAAAAAATCAATAAGATAAAATATTACATTTAAACCATAAGTATTTTACTTTTTTTCTCACAAAATTATAAAAAATCAAAAATTTATTCTAAACAAAAAAAATTTCACTAATTTAAAATAGTCTACAAATCAAACTAAAAAGAGTTATTCTCGAATCAATGCTAAATAATCAACCCCTAATTAGTTTAATAAAAACATAATAATAAAATAAAAACCTAATTAAAGATGAAAAACCAAAAAGAAAGGATAAAATTTCAAAAACATCCTTGTGCGTAGTTGAGTTGTAAGGATATTTTTTGAATTTTTATAAAAGAATGTTGAGAGAAATAGAGGGAGAAATTGTGGGAGTGATGTGATTTAAAAAAATAAATAAATAAATAAATAATACATTTTTCTAGGTTACCCAAACAAGAATAGTTATCCAAAATAGTGGTAAGAATGTAATTTCGTCATATTTGTTGAAGAATCTTCTTTCTTTGCCTCCTCCAGTCAAATATGTCCTGATTTTGCAACCCCATCCTAACCCAGCGCAGAATCTTCGACGGAAGAAGTATCGATCGAGAGAAAGACAACGAAAACGCCAGACCCAAAGGGTACCGTACGACTTCTCTCTCTCCCTCTTTCTGATTTCAATTGCTCTGTAATTTTCTGCTTTCGATCTGTAGCAGATTTGTGTAACAATCGTTATCTTGATCGGACAGTTTTGTTCAATTTAATCCCAAAAAAAGTTTTCATTTTTAAAACCATTAGTTGCAATTTCGATGCTCATTTACCTAAAGCGTGTCGATTGAGTTGAGAGACATAATTGGTGGGTTTTTGTGTGGTGGATTTGAGTACATACCATGTTTGGTAATTTGAAATGATTGAAAAGGAATTAAAAACCCGCAGTCTGTTTGGTTTGAGTGATTTGATGTGAGAAATCACAAAAAATAAAGAACAAATTTGTTTGTTTTTTATTTTTATTTTTAAAGTTTGGTAAGAAATTGAGACAAGGCGAAGTCTTTTTATTTATAGGTTTCATTTCTAGTCAAATCCACTCATTAAAAGTTCAAAACTTGTGAGATTTGATGGCAAACAATTATTTTTTTTTTTTATTTTTTTTTTATAATCATACTGAGATTTTCCATTATTAAAATACAAATGAAAGAAAAAGAAATTCCACCTTATTTTGCTTTGTTAGTGTGTGGGTGTATGGAGTTGTCAAATAATTTGTGAAGCTGTTGGATTGGCAGTAAAGTTGCTTAAATGATTAAATCTAATTGTTATGAATGGAATGCTAGAATTTCTAGGCAAAAGAAAGTGAATTGTACAAACTGGTAGCTTGGTGAACACACAGCAGTTGAGTTCTGTTCTACCAAATTACCAAAGTTCTAAAAATTTTAAAGAAAACCCGAAATAATGAAAAAATGTTTTGGATTAAGTGCACTACATGGCCATAAGATGCGTTGTGATTGCAGGATGTTAGTACACCCGTTGATGAAGGAAAGAATGTTAGGCTCATTAATGGGGACTAAACTGGATGTACTAACACCCTGCAAGGCTGCAATATAACCACAGCAAGATAGGAGAATTTGGATTGAGGTGGTTTGCCATTTACATTAGTTTAAATGGTTATCAGATGATTTAGGTTGAAGGCACCCTGTGGAAAACAACTTCTTAAAAATATCTCTGAGTTACAGTAGTTGAGATTGATGATGACTACTTTGTCAATGTCGTTGATTCGAAACTATGGTTTTAGAAATATTAAAATTGATGGTATGTTGGACATAATTAGGGTAAGGCTTAGTTTGAGTTGAACACTGTAAGCTTTAGTTTAGCATTGTATTTCAAGAGGTGGGTAACCCAAATTAGGAAGTTCTACTTTAGTTTAGCATTGTAAGCTTTAGCTTTACTACCAAGAACAAATTAGGAAGTTCTACTTTTGTGAAATTAACCCAAAAACGGCCAGAACATATGCTTATTGCTTGGTTAAGCTCTATTCATAGACTAAATTGGACAGTTGAAATGCAAAATTTAGGGTTATTTTATTTTGAATAAATTTCTTGCTAATTGGATCACTATTTAAAGTTTATTCGTGCAGGTGGTTAGCCTTGCTTTTTACAGCTGCCCCTAGCTCACACTATGGTGGAGGAAGTGACATGAAGATGTCTGCTCCCCTCCACCTCCTTTTAACATTTTTGGGATGCTGGTGTGATGATAGAAGTCACAGAATACAACTCAATTGACAATAGTGAATCCAACTCAGTGGTAAATTGGCCATGGTTGGTAACTGAGAAATATGTTTTTATTTGCAAGTTGAAGTTGAATGAAGTAAGTAGTTACTAGTTACTAGTGGATATAGATCCTTGTTTTATGTGAAGTTTTGGTCTTGTTTCGTGTACATTTTTTAATGCTCAAAGATTGATCTACAGGAGGGTTGTTTAATGGCTGATAGACACAATGTTATGTTTGTTATTTTTCTGCTACCTTTCAATTTGATTGCTCACCTTGGCCGTATTAGTATTACATGCTGCCCACAGTCGCTGCAATGCACTTTACTGCTTTTGTTTGAGTAGTAGCCTTATGAAGCATAATATTTCTCTATTGACCTCTGGTAGACAGATGAGTGATTATTAGATCGAGATGCCAAATTTAACACCTTTGTTGCTGATTTATTCATGATTCATTGGTTAATTTACAGAGAGGCAAACTCCCATTCTTTTTTTTTTCATTTTTCTTTTTGCTGTTTTTAAATCATGAGACATGCTATAGTTTGATGGTTGTCCTCTTTTTAGTTTCCTTTTCTTTGATGAGGAAAAGAGAAAGCTTAAATGGCCAGTTCTTTCCTTTTGCTTTTTATCTCTTATGCTAATTATTCAGGCTGAATAAATTTTAGGTGAAGCACTTGCATTGTATGGACATCAAAACACTCAGCGAAGAGGCTTCTTTGGAGCTGGCCCGAGAGTTGCTTATAGCAATCTCTCTCTGTGTACCGGAAAAAGTACTGAATTTGGTTGCATCTGAAAATCTTAACAATGGCAATGGGGCTGTGGTAACTAATTCTGATGAAGATGAAGAGCTTAGGTCAAAACTGATCTCAATTGCCTATGCCCAACCTCCAGATGCCAGTGCATAACCAGTGAGAGACACATGAGAATTAGCTTGGACAATTATATTTGTCATGGCTGATTCCTGTTAATAAACTCCTTTGGTTGTAGTCTTGTAGAACCTGAAACCTGTATCACATGCATTTGAGCGACTTTCTCTGTGGTCTGTGTTTATGATGTTGTCAGCATAAAGAGAATAGTATAAATATATGTACCGTGGTATAAGCCTTACAAACACATGGAACCTTTTCTTGTGGAAATGGACAGGGCCTCTCTACATTTGCTTGATTCGGTGAGTTTGGTATGGTTCATGCTAAACAAGTAGTGTTTTGCTTGCTGGATTGTTTTTTTGAGTTAAAATCATGATGATTCATATTCATAGATTCTCATCGTCTCGTGCTAATTTGGATGGAAATTGTTGTGTTGTGGTGTGGTTTTTGTCTACAAATTATAGGGAATTAAGTGGTTATTTCAAAATGACACGTAATATATGCGCGTGGTGATATGGCCTACTATATCACAATTTGAGTTACATTGTAATCCTTCATGTTCATAGATTCTCATTCTGTATGTTAATTTGGAAAGGTATTCAAATTTTGAATTTAAATTCAGTGTAATATGAGTTACTGAATCTAATTCCCTCATTGCAAAATTTGATTACTTTTTTAAGTATATATATTTTATTTTTTTGTAGCAATGTTGAAAAACTTAAAATTAACAATTGAGAACTTTATGTCATCTAAGAAATGGTGAAACAAATAAAAGAAACAACAAAAAGCAAATAAAGCAATGCAATTATAAAGGTAAATGAAAGAGGATTGAAAGGAAGATGGCTCTTAATTGCATGAAGAAGCATAAGAACAAGTGAAAGATAGGAAAGAAGATTACAAAAGTTAAATTAATGTATGTAATAGTACCTGAAAACCACTATATTGTGACCTTTTTAACTTAAAACAGCTCAGAGGCAGTTAGTTCAACTTTCAAGAGGAAAATGCAACAAGGTGTTCATGTTCAAAATGCTGCTTACTAATGTGCATCTTCTTCTTCACAGAACTTGGTGTATTCTTTTGGACCCATAAGGGATTCTAATTCCGATGGTTTGCTTGGCTTCAGCTTTATCATCCATCCTTCTTCATATGGGCTTGAATTGATCTTCATTACAAAAAATGTGATCAAGTTAGTTTGGAACCAAAGAAAATAATGCTCTACTTTTTGGGATGCTGAGAAAGTGGAGAAGGAAATATAAAATGAAGTGTGTAATCTAGGAGGATATTGTTCGAAGTGTCCAAACAGAGGATATATAGGAAGAAGTAAATTGGGGGAATTGAGTTATGGAATTTTACCAAACCAGGTGATTCAGTGAGCTTTTTGTTAACCTCAACAATGTCCCCTGAAATTGGGGAATTGACATCACTTGTGGCTTTTACACTTTCTACAGCTCCAAAGCTGCTGCCCTGTGTGACGGAGCCACCAGGCTCAGGCACCTCCACAAACACCACTTCTCCAAGATGGTCCTGCAAAAAAGTGCAACATATCAAACTTCAAAGTTGCATCAAGCAATTGAGAAGTTAAAAGAAGCAATTTGAAAACACACATTCAAATTGAATGTTGGGAAGGTTCTTCTTTTAGAGAGCATGGAAACAAGAAAGAAGAATCCATATGGAAATTTTAAGACATGTTGGAGACATTATTATCTTTATGGCATGTTTGATTGGAAGGATTAGAGCATGGGATTGGGATTATTAATCCGCGGGCCCAATTATCCTATGTTTGTTTTGACATTTTGTTTTAGGATTATCAATCCAATGGATAATTAATCTAACAAATTTGTAGGATTATTAGTAATGGGGTAGGGGTGGGATTGTGAATACCACACTAATTTGATTGGATTATTAATACTTCACTATTAATCTTGTGAAATCAAACATGACCTTAAAGTGTTAATTGCTCCCACTATGAAGTAGTTGGATTTGAATATCAACACACCTTCAAAATCCAACGAATGTCCTTCATTTAAATGATATCTTTTAAATTAATAATTTATTTAATTTCTCGAGCCTGCTAATTGTTCAAATAATGTTCTATGTATCTACTATCTATTAGGTCCCTCAATCTTTTATCCTTAAATCTTTATGTCCCTCTGTTTCAATGTATTCTCAATCATTGGATCATGTCTCGAGATTCTTACATGATATAAAAATTAGGAGTGCATTGAGACAAATGAGAGAAGAAATTTGAGAACAAAAGATCTGGACCATCTACCTGAGACAAATAATGTGACAATGGGTAGTTTACAACAAGAATAATTGGTACTAGTGATTGTTATTAAAGGGCTTTGCTTATAAAGCAACACAACACAACTCAATTGGCTCGGTATTGTTGTAACGAACAGAATGACAGCCACCATTGTAGCAGTTTTACATCTACTGTAAGATGTCCCACCAAAAAATAAATAAATAAAATAACAGTAATAATAACAGTAACCTGAGCATGATGAGTGATACCAATTGTAGCCACAGAGCCCTCAACCTTCACCCATTCATGGGAAGATGCATATTTCAACCCATCCAAAACTGCAAATACAAAAATAAAAATAAAGTAAAAATAACACAATTCCCATGTTACTTCTCTTCTCTCTCTCTCCCTTGCCAAAAAAACAAAAACTAAAATAAATAAAGAACTGTAAATAGAAAGAAAAAAGGCAGGAGAGAGATGAGCTCTGGAACCACTAAGTTTGGGCACAGAATCCTCTGTTTCAAAATTCTGTGTGTTTTATTGCAAAACATTCATAGTAATAGGATTGTGCCTTGAGATTCCGGTATTTTGGAATTCACAAATAATTTAATAACTGTAATTAGTATGACATAAAAAATTGTGTCATCTTAGCCCATACTGCACTGCAAGAGAGAGAGAGAGAGAGAGAGCATTGAAATGAAATGAAATGAAAAGAAAAGGAGAGTACCAGTAGAGAAGCATCTAGAGAAAGAAAAGGCAGGGAGAGGAGAGAGAGGAGCTTTGGAAGCAGAAGAGAGTCTAAGTGCATTAGCAGTTGAAGAAGCCCACATTCTCAGTGCCATTGCAAGAAAAAGGAGGATGTCCTTATTCACTCTTTGTGGTGGTGGTTGTTTTTGCTTGTTGGCTCAAACCAAAGAGGCAAATATCATCTCAAAAGAGAAAAGGGGAGGGTTCCCTTTTTTTAATTCCTGGTTTTATCTTCCTAGAGGATGAATGGTGGATAATGAAAGCCTCATCCTAGGACCCCATTTCAAAATTCAAACTCCCCAACAAGTTTTTTTTCAAAATTGAATATTATGTATTTCTTTTCCCTTTCTTATTATTTTATGTGAACCATACTGTGCCAATTGATAGGTGTTTAGATTGATTATCGCAGTATTATCAAATAAGTCTTTTGGTGCGACTTCTTATGAATTGAAAGTTGATTATTAGAAAGCAAAAGCAAAAGCTAAAACTATGAAAAAGATTACTTTAAGGTTCCAAAATAAATATTATAAGCTGAAAATTAAATTGCACAAAAAAATATTATAAACAGTTTGTACAAGTTGCTCCAAACAATTCTAATACATAGCACATTATTGAAGTTTTAAAAATGACAAAAAAGAAGGGAGAGGTGGGGGTTGGTGGTGTCCCGTTCCCTCATTCCATGCTAAGATGAGAAAAATTGAGGAGTTCGCAACATCACAAGTAAATTTTTAATTTTAAATAGGACAGTACTAATAAATGCAAGATGGTATAACATATAAAACATAACAATTAGTGAGTTATGAGAGTTAAAAAAAATTAAATCAAATTTTAAAGTTGAAAGTGAGTGATATTGAATATTTTGTTATTTTAATTTTATTATATTTAAAAAATAATTGTATAAAACTATATTAGAGGCCGAAAATAAGCAACCCAAGGCGATGTTGTGGGCCCAATTTTTGAGAAGCCCGAAGTATATTGGGCCACGTGAATTGACTTTCAGCGGATCCAACTCTAGCAAATCCCACAGGCTCTGGCCCAAACAAAGAAGCCATTTCACAAGCTCATCTCATCTGCATTTTGAAGTTCTCTACCGGGCGAGTAATACTAGGTATTATAAAAGAAATATTATGAAAAATTTCATGAGGGTTCTTCACTCTTAGCTTATACACAATAAAATATCACACACTAATCAAATGATAGAAAATCTTCATGAAGCATTTCATAATATTTCTTTCATAATACCTAATATTATTTATGTTGCGCTTCAAGAATTGTTATGTTGGTTGGAAGAGAGAATATGAGTGAATTGGTCATGAGAATTAGGGAATGAGAAATATGACTATTTATTTTTATCATCTTATCTTATTTTATTTTATTGTTTAATGTGTTTATCAGTATTATATTAGATGTATATACATGAGTGGTGGCGCCTATTATACCAATGTTGTGTTGACAAATAAGATGAAAAACATAATATGGTATAAATAAATAAAGTGATAGTGTAGCATTATTGTTATGAAAGAAATAGGGTACATTTTTTTTTAAGGATAATACTATGGTCTCAAGGTGAATATGTAAAAAGTGTATCAAATGTGTAAAAAGTATACAAAAATATGTAAAATGCTTTAGGGTATATAACTTTTTTATTATTTTCTTCCTCTTATTGGAAAAATTATCAGTTGCTCTTGGAGCAACCCTCTACCCTATTAATTAATAGATGTTATATTGTCTCTTAAAACACTCACATAAAATTGCCTCAATAATACTATCTAACTTCTTAATTGAAAATTTTATTAAGTTGTCATTAGTATGACTTTATTTTTAATAGGTAAAAATTTAAAGAGAGAGTAAAGGGTTGCCGTAGAGGTCATGCCATGGGTTATATTTTTCTTAGGCAAGAATCAAACCTCTCAGATTACGAATTTGATGTATCAAAACAAAAAAAGTCCTACGAACAACTGTCTAGTGAGCGTTGAAGAGTCAAATAATATCAAAAAAGTTAAAATTCTAATACACTTTTCACAAATTTTCATACACTTTCATATATCAATATTTTTTTTTTTTTTACACATTTTTAGCATTCTCTAATTAAATAAAAATTATACAACTCTAATGCTGCGAAGCAATGTGCAACAAACAACAGCTAGTTTTCATATTCTGAATTTGTAGCTATACCTACAAGCAAAAAGATAAAGAAAAAAGAAAAAAAAACTTTCCTAGTGTCCAAACAGGAGCCATATAACAAAAATGGAAAGGTGTGAAAGTAATGACAAAACTATAAAAATTAGAAGCAAGGTCTCTCTCTACCAGTCAATTTGTTGTTGTTGTAGTTAGCATTTGGAAGAGGGCAGAGGGTAACCATGGTGCCAGGTGTATGTGTGTGTCCCTCCCAAAGATGAGGGGAAGAAAATGATTGTTCAGATTAATAGGAAGTTTTGAACAAATTTTTGATCTGTGATTGTGAATGTCCAAATGTGTTGTGTTTTTCAGGGTGTGGACACATTGGACTCCATTCAGACCATGCTACTATCCCAAGTCATGGTCTACCTGTCTTCATCACCACATCATGATGATATATAGATCTTAGGTCAAATGGGTTGGTTTCTGATGCAAGCAATGTTTAAAATAAAAAATAAACCACCACGGGGCATCCTAGTTGGTAAGGGAGTATGCTCCTCTCCTTACTGATCAGGATTCGAATCCCCTACTACTCAAGTGGAAGTCTAATGGTTTAGGTAGATCGGCTAGCTTCCCCCAGTTTGGCTTATAAGGGTGGATCTTAAGGATCCTGTCTTGGGAGTGTTCTGGGTATAAAAAAAATAAAAAAATAAAGAAACTCCAAAGAAGTTTCATTTATTTTGTCAATTTATTTTGTTTGTAGTAAAAAATTAATTAATTTTGAGTCAATTTTTTTTTCATTTCTAGGTCCATCTAAATTAAAGGATCTTAAAAATATTAAAAATAAAATGTTGAAAAAACCCACTAAAAAGGGAAATAAGTATAATTTATGTGGAAAACGCGTTATGGATTGGGCTTCAAAAAGATCTCCACATAAAGATGGGTTTAATTAATTGGGCCTGTTGGGTGTCATCTTCGTTTCAGGCAAATACTAACCCTTGTTCTTAGGTGTTGTTTGTTTAGGGAGATTAGAGGATAGGACAGGACTTAATGTCCATTTCATGTAATAGTCCGGTTCAAAAATGTAAGCTAGACTAATAGTCTAACCGAACTATCAACCCTTTATTTGGGAGATTATTGTGTTCCATGGGGGTAACTCCTCCGGATTGAAGGGTAAAATGACATTTTTGATCCTTTGGATTATTGTACTTAGTAAAACAAAATAAAATTTAAAAGTCTCAATTAAAAATAAAATTAAATTTATTTAATTAATTATTATTGATGTTCTATTTATTTAATTTTTTAAAAGTTCTAGCCAAAAATATATATATACATATATAATTTATAACTCAGATATAGTATTCTTATTACTTAGTAAATAATTCAAAAGGATAAAATAGTCTTTTGAATATTTATGCTTCTTTATAGCATCCCAAACAAACACATGATTCAATAGAATAGTTTTTTTTTTTTTTCCTGATATCGAATCTCATAACTAAACAAAAATGTGATATATATCATTTTCATCCAAATAGTCCAGGACTATGTATCCCAGGATTAACAGCCTGATGGATTATAATTTCCGCTTATCCAGTCCGTCTAAACAAACATAACCTTAGGATATTGTTTAATACTGAGATTTATGTACAAAAAAAAATTAAAATAGCGAAAATGTTTAAAAAAAGGTTTTAAAACTGGTGAAAAGTGTATTATGTTTTAAATTTTTTTCCTTGTACTCTAAGGCACTTGTTAGTAAACTATTTTCACAATTATGTATTAATTTCAATAAGTCAAATTTACATTACCAAATAATCCAAGTCCAATAAAGTGATTTTTTATAAGACTATTATATTCTCAACTTTTGATAATTATATTTTCAATTTTTATAAAATTAAATCCTAATCATTTAAAAAATCACTCTAAAGAATCTAGAATCATAACTCAGACCTTGATTTTTAGTAGAAAAAAACAAAAAAAAAAACACAAAAGAATAAACTGAAGACGTCTAATTTACTTTTCAAAATTCAAATAGGGAAAATGAAAGAACAAAGAAGAGGACTTTTGAAACCAAACAAATGTCTCACTCTTTGTGTAGTAGGTCAATTGGGGGGTGGGGTCATACTACAAATTCAAACAAAGCCACAGTGAGAGAGTGATTAAGATATATGATATGAGTTAGGTTACAGAACCTCATAGGATTGATAGATAACACACTAATTAATGTTTTGAATTCAATTATATATCAAAGTCTTCAAATTCAATTTTGCCTTCTGCAAAGATCATCCCTTCATGCAATTGCAATAAATTTTCCAAATCTTCTTAATATTTAGCCATTGTATAATATATATACCCCATGGCATATTTAAATTTGTTTATTTTGGAGTCATTTTCATACATCTACTCTTTCATATCACCATCATTTGGTGAAAACCTTCATTTTTTAAGCCATGACATACTTTTTGTTTCTTCTAATATAAAAAAAATATTAGGTGTTGGAGGATCTCTAATTATTTACTAATTTTTTTATCAATTTCAAATTTAATGAAAAAAATGACTGAATATGTGCTCCAACCATTTTATCAAATCAAAGGGAGGGGCAATTTTTCACTAAATCAATGATGAACTAAATCCTTCATTCAATTTTCAACAATCGTGGTTTTATTTAAATTTGATGAAATTTCAAAAAAGAAGAAGTAAAGATTGGAGATGATTTTTTTAATAAAAAATTATTAAAATAGATTTTTAGGGTAAATTTAAATTTTGAAGGAAAAAAGAAAAAAGAAAAAAAGAGTTCAGTTAAGGGGCCCGTGTCCACCATAGGTCCCGTTTCAATGATATGAGTAGTTTATTTTTGTAAGATCCTTCATGCATAGTATTTATAAATAAATAAAAAAAATAATCTAATAATCACAACCCTTTTTTTTTAATTTTAAAACAAGTTAAATACAAGTCATGTTCAAATAATTTGATTCATTCGAAACCTATAAGCATACTAATCTATTGGAACAAATGGGGGATGAAGTTTCATATGATGGTTACTTCCCCAACTCTCTTACATACCTGTGTGGGTAAAAATCTGGCCACACTGCCCGTTTAGTGATCAGCAGCTAAGCACCGGCAGAATAGATGGCTCCAGCAACCTGTAACAGAAAAGAAAAGCTCCGGCGGTTGTAAGATCCTTCATGCATAGTATTTATAAAAAAAAAAAAAAATTAATCTAATAATCACAAC